ATTATCTTTTCTTTATATAATTAATTAACTCACTGGGGTCATTTCTGAAGGACTGCAGGAGCTCCTGTGCACGCTCGATACAAACATCATTGCCATGGCGGCAATTGATGTTAAGGATGTTATTGCGATGGAAAGCTAAGACGTGTTCCTCATGGTCGTCCGCATTAAAGCCTAATTCTTCGAAAAGAGGCGCAGTAATATTCAGCATGTAGTACTAAACAGAAAATATGTTTTAAATTTAGTAAGTTTATTAATGTCCAAAGTGAAATGGCAAATGTTACTACTATTGCTTTAACATGAGGATAATAACAGTTTAATATATTATTTCAAATAAAAATACCATCAAATCGTCAGGCGACAAATAAATTTGGACATTGATTTAAATATAAAAAAATATTAGAAAATTAAAAACTTATCATCTCGAATTTAAGCCGGGTTTACATTTGTCTGACGTGTCGTGGTATTGGTTTTGTACATTTAATATGGTTAGATTTATATTAGTGTGTCGCAATCTGACATGACGGCTTGTGTTGTGTGTATGAAATCAATACCGTTCTAACACGTCACGACACGTACGACACGTCATATAAGTATAAATCCTGCTTTAGCGTACCTGAAAGAGGTCGTAGACCTCAGAGCCACTGAGCACGATGTCAAGGTAGTTGAACACAGTATTGGCAGACGCCCAAGGGATGTAGTCCTTCTCCTTAATCAAATAAAGAGAGATCTCGAATGGATGAACGTAGTTCTGCAAAATAAACAATATTTAATACTCGATTCAACAAAATTCCAAAAGTTAACCGTAACTTTAACGTCCTGGGGGCCTACCACAACCTCTTAATACAATATCACTTTAACCTTACATTGGCTTTTCGCACCACAACGCGCTTAAAGTAAGCTTATTATAATGTTAAAACTAAGATGTTTTATTGGCAGCTTTGTGTCTATTCATTCACTCAGTTCGTACTATGACGCGACTTTAACATTAAAGTAATATTGGTCTTGTGCCAAATTTAGCAATCCTAAAATAGTTACACGGATGCAATGGAAACAATATTATTTTCAGTTTTATTGTCTTAAAATTGATTTGTAATGATTAAAAGTTAAGTTGAACTTATTTATTTACATATATCTCTTCAATATTTTGTTTATTTTTTAATTAATAGCACATAGGAAATAAATTCTCGTCAAATAAAATATGCTCTTTGGCGAAACTAACAGTTGACACTAGACTATAGTTACGAATTCACAAAGTGACTATTAAGACTCAGCTTATTTTATTTATTTTTCTTCGTGAAAATGCGGAATAATTATTGAAAACAGCGTAAATTTCTTAGATTTTATTATTGTATACTTTTCTTTTTTTAACATTCAAAATTCTCTGAATGTAAATAACATTAAGTACTTAAACATTATACTACGATAACACGATTCGGAACATCAAAAAAGAAAGAGACGGCATTACAGAGTTCACATAACGTTATCTCTTTCCTATTTGTAGTAAGGAATAGACAATATTGGGAAATAATTCTTTCTTTCAATCACTTTTGCAATAATACATTACTTGGTTAACATGTTCGTCATGGTACGAATATGAGTAATATTATAATAAGCTTACTTTAAGCTGACATTGAAATAAGACTGTTTTTGGAAAGGTTATGGTAGGTCCCCTGTATCATTTTATTACTAGATTTAAATGTATGCTAAGATGCTATGACAGCTGCGCAGTATTTTATTTTGCCTGCAATTTTTTTTATAATATTAAGTCACGGGATGAACAAGCCGTGCACCTGATGGTAAGCTACAAGCCTGTCCACAATAGTTGCAGTGCCACTCAGAGCTTTGAATCGCAAAGATCTGAGAGGCATTGCCACTGCGCTCGTCACCCTGAGACTTAGGTTGACAAGTCCCATGTGGCTGTAATTTCAGCAGTACCCTTACCCTTCAAAACCGGAACGCAGTAATGCTAACATTACTGCTTGACGGCAGAAATAGGTAAGGTGGCAGTACTTCCCTGAACGAACTGTTTCACAAGGAGCTTTACTGCTACTAAAAATCTTTTAATCTTTTACTATGTTTATTATTTTCAAACAAAACTGTTATTTTCTTCTCAGCGTCTGGTTCGAAGAACAATCGGAACTTTTGAGGACGATGTGTCATTTCGTCCAAATCCATCAATTAGAGAACCAGCTATGACATCGTTTACTCGCGGTATTGTCATGGATCATGCTTGTCGTTCTAACTACGATCCTTGTATAGCTGCTGGGATTGATTGGTTTTATAATACAAATAGCGATGAACCAGCAGTGTAAGTTGCAAATATTTTGTATTTCTTCATTTTACAATTTTCTTATAATTTTATTGTATGTAGCGTACTGGACATACGCTGTTGGAAACAGTATTAATGTTGTAGGTATCTTGTTAATTATTTTTCACCCGTTCCCTTCAAAACCTGAACTGCTTAGCGGCAGTAATGTTATCCCTGTAAGTCTGGCGCACCCTAGGCAAACAATGGCGAGTAGCTTACTCCAATTGGTAATAACGATGGTAACCATTATAGTGTATGCCATCGATACGATAAAAAGAATATATTTTATATAGGAAGAATTAATTTTGATTTTAAATATAAGTTCAAAATACCGTATTGTGTATTTTTATATTTAAAATACAAATGCACGTTTATGAAGTGTACGAACATCATAAAAGGTATTAGTGTTTTGAATACATATAAGAAAATATTTTGTAATTAATCTTTTGTAATTTATTTTATTGAGTCTCAATATCATTACCTGACGTTATCCAATGTTTAAATTTTACAAGATATTTTACAATATCCTCAGTATATTTTCGCGATATTTGCTCTTAAGAATGCAGTGGACTTTCTATTTAATGAACTAAGTATCTATACCAATTATAATTCAGTATTACTTACTGTAGTATTATTACCTTATAGCACCTTACATCACTTTGAGCATATCCTGGTGTGCATTTAAAAAATTGAAAAAGGTTACAAATGTTTAGATGTAGATATCAAAAACATTTAAAGTAGGCCCCATGTACTGGTTGTAGCAAAAGCAAAATAGAAGAATTGAAGTTCAAAGTTGATTTTTTTTTTTTCAAACCCACTCATAGCTTCGCACTAGGGACAACCACAAATTACACCCCAATTCATGACAGAATTAAGGAGGCCATATAAATATTTCACCCGGCTCTGGATTCGAATTCGAACTGCGTGCCAGATCAGCATGATAACCATTCGGCCACGGAGGCAATTGAAGGCTGTTGTCTTAAGGAACCCAGTAATATCACCCGTCTAACAAACTGAATAATTTTGTCAGTCTCAGTACAATCTGCCAGCTGTCTGATCTGACGTAATGTTGGTTTTTACCCAAATAAATGTAAACACTTTTAAGTTTCATGTACAGGCTACTGACAAAAGTCCTAAGAAAAAAATGTTCCGAGTATAAGTAACTTCTAAGAATATACCCTTGTCGCCTAATAAGCAATTTAAATACAAGTCTCACAAGTAATGGACTAAACCTATAACATGACTTTATTTTACCACATAAACATGAATTTATTTTTTCCGAACTTCATTATTCCGAACACTATTCGACTTTCTTTCATTAGAGCGATGATTGTTTTGGTATAAACTTGTAATACAGAAATACCTTTAGTAGATGTATCGTTTGAACAAAAAACTACTATTAGAATAATTATAGTATATGTATTCTTTTGGGAGCAGTATATTGTGAAAAAAATCGTTACGTATTTTCGGACAAATGAAACAAAATCGATTCAACAAAAGCCGAAAGGTTTTCAGAGAAACAAAAATTCTGTACATCATGTTTCTAGTTTGTAATAGGTAACCAAGTAATAGATGTAAAATAGTGTATCAAGAGATAATTATAAGTAAATTACCCACCAAACGTCCATTCCTGGCAAGATTGAAAGAATCGTCGATAATTTGGGCTCTGTTCAAGAGGTCAATAGTTTCATGTGCTTCATTTAGGACTTTAGCCAATGCCATCCAATTCTCTACATTATAGTTCACTCTATAGTAACCTGAAGAAAAGAGCCGAAAGTTATAATTTTAGATTATTTTAAACGTCATACTTGCGAATCTTTAAAAAAATCTATTATTTATATATAACATTTGTGATCAAAAGTTTATTGTGCCTAATATGAGTATAAGCGCTGGATAAAACTTCGGAAAATTGTAGCCAATAACTTCATAATTATATTGGGTTAGTTGCATGAAAAAAAAACACAGTCCAATATTTACTTTCACAGCAATTTTGTATCCTATCTTACTCACCAGTCCTTTTTTTATTGAAGATAAACCATTCTGCTTCAGATAAACCAGGAATATCGATGGCAGTAGCAGTGGCACCAGTCGAAATCCAAAATCCTGGCTTGGTATCTTCGAAATCTACATCAGTAGAAAGCACCCAGTTGACAGGAATGTGCCAACGGTCATTTGAAGACAATGTTGAATCGGTTAAAAATCGTTGCTGTTGATCAAACAATATGCATTTTGACATATTTAAGGCAATTACAGATTGAAATGGTGTTTACGTTTACGCGACGCGAACGGGTAAATCAACAATTCACTGACCGGACCTAAATCGATGTGTCCTAAGCATTTGTAAGTATTTAATTATTTCCCACAAACAAGGGAAAATGATCAAATTGTTTATTTTCGAGGGTACAAACAGCTTGTATCACAATGTAATAGAAACTATATTAAATATTTATAAGCAAAAACAGTTTCCTACTGATAAAAATACAATAGCAAAATACAGCATATTAAACAACTAAAAAATTAATTAGATGATCTTCTTAACGTGCACACAGATTGTGTCAAACAAATCAAAATCATAAAGGGCAGAAACTTTGTTAAAATTATTGCTCACACGCTATATACACAAATTACGTTTATAATTTTGTAAAGCGACAGGTAAATGAATTAGTGGTGAATCTCAGACAGAAGCTCGGGGCAATCGACGATATTGGTGGTAATTTTTGTGAGATAGTTTATGTCTGCTATTTTACGCCGCAATTCGAGGGGAAGTATGTGGTGTCTTTTGCAGATATCTAAATAGTTTAAAGAGCGATAAGGCTGATTAATTCTAAAACATTTTATTATTATATATGATTAATTCATATTTATATATGATTAATTCATATCATCTGCGAAGCACAATAACCGAGATGATCGGAGGCACAGGCTAACATCGTCCACAAAGACCACAAATAGAAGCGGTCCCAACAGTCAAACGTAGTGATTGGCGACACTGGAAACTGTGGTTGCTGTGTCCGATTACTGCAGCCGGACATAGTCGCCAGTTGCTACTTCTGGACACTGGTAACAGTTCGGCGCTTAAATTCCTGAGTGTTGTGTTAGTATCACGATAGTCGATATCGATTAAGAAACTCTTATTTTGTTTATTGTGCTGATTATACGTCGACGCAAACGTCGTCGTCAATACCTCCAAGCAAATCAACCGTCAACAGTCTAGTTGCTACATCGAACTCTTTTTGGTTGGCAATCAGTGTATGCGTGAAGTAGAAGCAACACTGTCTACATGTGTGCATATAGCTGTGTGAAAACCACAGATATAGAAAAATATACCTATAGTGAAAACAGGATATTACTCACCAGTTACGGGGTGCTTGTATCCAAGATACTACATTATGGACATTATATTATATTATATCGGGCACTTCATTTCGGAAACCCATAGAGACAATAAAACTTAATCAATATCAATCCATTTATACACCCCACTGCTGGGCGTGGATCTCCTCTCAGGCGAGGTTTTAGATATTTAGATTATAGTCCACTTCACTGGTCCTTTGCGGGTTGGAGCCTTCACGCGCTTTCTAAGGATTGTGAACCTTCTTCGACATGCAAATTTCCTCACGATATTTTCCTTCACCGAAAAGCTCATAGTAAATTAAATTTTGCACATAAATTCCGAAAAACTCGGAGGTACGGAGCCGAAGGCGGAAGTCAGACCATTAGGCTACCACGGCTTTTTAATAAAACTTAAAACTCCATGTTTATTACGTATTACAAACCTGAGAAACAGAGACAGATTGAGCTTGGGGTGAGCTTCTTCGGACGGTTATAACAGGAAAACCGCCCTGGTTGGTCCATCGATTGAGGATGTCTACTAGGGGAAAAGGCACGCGGTGTGTAGACTCATCCAGAGCATGTTGCAGCGCTGCGTATAAGTGTGATGGTCCGACTGCTCCTCGGGCACTAGAGACATAAAAATATCATAAAGTCAGACCGCAAATGAACCTTTAGCAGCAGTAAAGCTCATTGTGAAAGAGTTTGTCCAGGGAAGTACTGCCACCTTACCCATTTTTGCCGCCAAGCAACAATGTGAGCATTATTGCGTTCCAGTTTTGAAGGGTAAGGGCGCTAGGGAAATTACAGGCACATGGGAATTGTCAACTTATGTTTTTTTATAGGTAACATCAAGTGACGGAACGAACAAGTCGTGCGCCTGCTGATAAGCTACACGCCTGTCCATAACAGTTGCAGTGCCGCTCAGAACTTTAAATTGCAAAGATCTTGGGGCACTCCCACTGCGCCCATCACCGTGAGACATAAGTTGACAAGTCCCATGTGCCTGTAATTTCACCAGCACCCTTACCCTTCAAAACTGGAACACAGTAATGCTGACATTACTGCTAATATGTCATGTTATGTCTCAGGGTGACAGGTTTTAGTTTTAAATATTTTACGATGTAAAGTAACGGGCTAATTTTATTAGTGTAGGTGAACGTTCAAATGGCATTGCATTTAAGAATTTTCACATTTAGAGGTCTTACTTGTCCTTAATGTAAATGCTGAGTCCCTTGCGGAACACCTCAGGTGTCAAGAAGTGTTGCATCATACGGATTACAGAGCCGGCTGTAACAAACAATGAAATCACTTTAATCCATCACGAAATTTAGAAATTTAATTCTATTATCTTTAATTCATCATCATCATCATCATTAAATCGGCGCTAATGACGTGAAAATAATTACGCCGACGATAATACCGGGTCATCGTGACCCAAATTTCATCGATAATTTTTTAATGAAATTAAAGTAGTTGTGTAAATTTTAATAAATACATATTAAATAAGAGTTCTTGGGACATAATTATGTTAAAATAAAAATAAAACCAATTATTGTATAAATGAATATTCCAATAGAGTTCTCAATAACACATGCAAAATCAACTTTGAAAACATAACTTTGATATTTCTTTTATTTTTAGTAAGGTATTCTAAATAATAATTGTAAGTAATACTCTAATATATTAAAAACAGTATAGAGTACTAAAAAACCGACCTCAAAACTCATTCATCCCCTAGTTTGCCACTCTTAGAGGTGGAATATTTTCTTCAAGTTTAATCGGGACCCCATCTAAGGTGCCTCTTTACAACAAGAAAAGAATCATCAAAATCGATTCACAAATGCCGTGATGAGTTATCGAGTAACATACATACAAAAATAAACGTACAGTCGAATTGAGAACCTCCTCCTTTTTTTGAAGTCACTCAAACTTATCATTAGAAATCAATTTACTTGTATTTATTTTAATCTACTTCCTCAATCAGATATATTGAACTGCTGCGACTATTGCAGTACCGTATCATATGATCCAAGTATACAGGTATTATATATTATAGTATGTAATTCTAACATGCATGCATGCTAGATTTACATATTTAGATCGTGGTATTCCACCAGCATCTCATCAATAGTGCAGTTTTCAGCCGAAGAATACAATTATTTTTGGCATTGTTCAAGAAATAGAAATTTCACGTGGTACGATCAAATTGATATCTGTAAGCACGCAACAAGCAACAGAAATAAGATTAATTAACTACAAACCCTAAATAAACCAATGAATGTCAAGTCACATAAATATCACGCCAATGATGATACTGGATCATATTGACCCGTTTTGACTTAACACATGTGTTACTTGGCTGCACAGGCATTGTCACACTTAGTACACCAGCAAGTTGGGTAAAGGAGGGTTGTATCTCCAGCTACTCAAACGTTGAAATCATGCAATCGGAGTAAACCAAAAATATGCCCGTTGTAAATCGCCTCGGGTCAATATGACCCAAAGTCAATTGCGCTATACTGGGCACAAATCTCTTTTATATTATTAGGGGCAAAAAACAACAGTACAAAGCTTGTAACAGTCTTATTACTAATATATATATATAATTATGTACTACCAACAATATCGTCCACAAATTCCTGTCATAATGATCATGTTGCCACTTAAGAGTCTATGCTACCTGAAATGGCTTTGGTTGATTCCGCGTAACAGTCAAAGTGTTGAATCAATCACTTTGTAGTACAAGTGAAGATATACACTGAGTAGTATATGATGTGAAAACACGATTCCTAAAAATTTTCACGATAGAAAAAAACACAAATTTACTAACTTGACTATAATACCCCAAATAAAACTCACGGACCTTTTTTCTTTCCATTACAGCTACAATCGGTAAAGAGTTTTTTTGTAATTTATAGTACGACATACTTTCTTGTATATGTAGGTCAGGTTCAAGTTCAAGCAGGAGGTTACTTAAGTTCAAAATTAAAATATTCGCTTAAAATGTTATCTAAACAGAATTTTTATTGCAATTCAGCCACATAATACTTAAATACTTATTATTAACAATTTCTGATTGATTTTAATTATCTTCTGTATAAAAAATTATCTAATTTTTTTTACATGCATCATGTATGCGTTTGCTTTTTACAATATTTTGGTATGAGTTGTATTATCTATGGAAAAATTAAAAAAAAGAAACAATTAAAAAACCCGCTATTTGCCAAATCCATAATTGTTGTGTTGTGAAGTTGTGAACCATTATTTATATTAATGTTTATATTGTATTTATTTCCTCGCAAATGTAAAGAACACGTATCCCGAAGTATGTATCCCGGTCGGTTAAAACATACGAAACTCAAGTTAATAAAGCCCTCAGCCTTTGGCTTCGGTCTTCTAATAGACCCTCGTTAGTAATTTCTTATTTAGCGTCCTTAATACGCAATCTACTATTATTTAGTATTGCAACACTCACAAATGTACGTAACTTACAAATTAAACGTATTATATACATACAGAAATTGGGTTATCCTCGTAATTGAGAAGCACCCATTCTCGCACTAGGCTCCGAAACTACCGTATCACCGAAAGTAAATTATTTTATTTAAAATTTTAATTACAGTAAGTAAGCTTAAAACTTAAGAAAGGTATTGATATATGTGGTTGTATTTGTCAAGCAACTTATAAATACGAGATACACAATAGCTAAAATTAGGCATCATATAAAAACTATTCAAGTGAAACACTACTAATTCAGCTGACGACCTTGGTGACAAATCCAAGAAATTAAATATATCCTCTTACACGTTGTGAATTTTATTACTTTTAGTTATTTCTTTTTATCTGAGATACCTACCTGTTTTCGTAATCTAAAAGACGATGACTCGTATCGCAGATAATAAAAATATTCTGTGTAGGTAGATAACATTTTGGCGCTCTTCAAGCTATGTGTTTCGGCCTTTTAAACTGACTACAATTGTTATAGTTTTAAGAATAGTTTTACAATCTTGCAAGAACTCAGCATAGATTTAATTTTGTTTAATTTTGTAGCTGTTACTATCCCACTGCAGGATAAAGGCTTCCCTTCTCTTTGTCCACTCATCGCGATTTAACGCCGTTACATGCAAATACCTCATAAGCACCTTTTTTATTTATTTATTCAATTTCAAAAACAAATTTTACAAATAACGTCTTCTTTATCGCTAGGTAAAAGCTTCTCGCTTAGAGGTTTAACTACCTAGCGATGAGCTAACAAGCTCGACACTTAAATTAGCTTACAATTCACTATAATATTTATTAATTAAAGAGTATATGTCTACATGTAAATAAGTGCTATATAGATATTATACAACAAACCAAGATAGTGTCTCTTTAAAACAGTTTTGCATTTCTTGACATCCCCTTCTATGTCACTTAGCACAGTGTCTGCCTGGAAGATCGTTCAGAATTTCTGGTAGCATGTAGTCCGGCCTGCGCATTCCATATACGTTATTGTAACCCAGCAAAGTATGTATACGTTGGTATGTATGAAAGCGAGCGCAAATCTTCAAAGCGCATTCGCGTTCGCAGATTATGTTTGAAATGATCATATTCCTGACATACGAATAGCATTTTAGCTTTTTCAAATATATTTAAAACTCTACAATAACCAAATAATTTGTCATAGTTATCCTAAAATTTTGATTTTACGTTGTACAGAACAATTAACTTTAGTATACACAGCTGCAGTTTACAGATATTGATCAAGTAGGTCTCATAAGCTACATAAACCATAGTATATTACGCAAGAGACATAAATAATTCTGATTCACTTATATGGAAGTTTGTATGTCAATATAGACTGTTTAGCCGCAAAGACTCTTAGCGTCGTATTCCAGAACTCTACTCAATGCTCAAGTCAGGAATATCAAGCATTGGAAATACGGCTCTAACGGCAAAGAACTTGAGTATGCTTTTCGGTGCTCACTGCAATACTTAAATCCTGACTTGAACATTGAGTAGAGTTCTGGAATACGATACTCAATTTGTTATATACGTGATCTAAGTGCGGTCTCCATTTAAATTGTTCATCTATAATCAGTTCTAGATAAATATGTCGATCTACTAACTGTAAGGTGCCGCAGGAGCACAATTATAAAAAAACATTGATGCGTGTGTGTGTTGACGATGATTTTAAGTACAGAGAATGTATGTGCAGAATTTTAGTTTTGTCCTACTTAATAACGAGCCCGACGGTCTGAGCCCAACTGCATAATTGATCATAGTGTACTGGAGTATTTTTTGTCCCTATGTGAGGAAATTAACAAGTGTCATTCGGAAATTGATATATCGACCAGCCTGTGAAAATGTTACTCATATGATTAATATGGATTAAATACTTAGTTGGACCTAGTATTGAACCCTGCCGTGCCCTCCTCAGTTACACTAATAATCTAACTCGTCACGTCCGTCTCCTCCGTCTTGCGTTGTGGTGAGAGTCACTCCGTGGTGGTCTTTGCCCACAACTCGCTTGACATGCAGCAAACGCGTCCGGCCCATTTCCGTTTCAGGCTAACACGTTTTTGACCAACATCGATTTGTGTTTTGGAACGCAGTGTACTGTTCCGTACGCTGTCTGATAGTTTTACACCCAAGATATTGCGCTACGTGTCTCGTTTATACTTCTGACTTCTGACGATTCGTCAAAAACGAATTGAGCACGGGTATAGATGAAATACATAAAATACTTTATCGGACATATGTTTAATGAATATCTTCTAACATGCTAGAAAGTATTATCAAAATAATTGAACCGGACCGTTATACAAGTTATGGCATTACAGTCCTAACGCAGTACGCTAGGCATTAGTAGTGCAAAACGTATATAGAAACTCACATTTCTGATAAGCGACAGCATTAAAAGTGCCAAGAATCTGGGATGGTGTGAAGACAGGATATGTCATAGGGTTCACGCCGAGGACAGCATCGTTTTGCATTACTCCTTGCATTTGTAAAACGAACTGATCCATCATGCGGAAATTCGGCAACACCTGAAAATATTTCATTCAAATATTATTGCACTTGAAAACACAAAAATTAAAAATTTTTGTTCATGTCCACATTAAATATGGTACAAAATGTGCAAAATACTACAAAAACAAGCGCCGATATTTGTAGGGTCGTAAGTGACGAGTATGCGGCATTCTTGTGGCGATAAAATTTTGAATATGATACCAAGTAACGGAACAAACAAGTCATGCGCCTGGTAAACGACATGCCCGTCCATAACAGTTGCCACACAAAGCATTAAATCACAACGATCTGAGGGGCACGGTCTCTGCCTCCGTCATATTAAGACATAAATTCGCAAGTCCAACGTATTACTATTTGGTAGCAAAAATAGGTAAGGTGGCAGTATTTCCCCTGAGGAACTCATCCACAAGGCACTCTACTACTACTCTACCTATGTATATTTATTCACGAGCATTGAAGTGTTTTCATTATGTTTTATAAAGACACTGAATAAAATTAATAATGTGCTAACCAAATCCGTGGCGTAATTCTCAAAGAAGTTTGCGAAACCCTCGTTGAGCCAGGTGAAGGTCCAGGACAGAGGACTAACTTCATTGCCGAACCATTGATGCATATTCTCGTGTGTAATGATGCGGGCAATGTTCTGGCGAATGGCGGTCGTCGTCACGCCTTCTTGAAGGAGGAGAGCTACTTCTCTAGAAACAATAAAGTTATTGATATTATGCCCATGAACCTAAATAATATATTCAAGGTGGTAAAATAATGGTACGTCGTCACCATTTATTTTATGCGTCTGGTGGAAAGGGATACGCATACCCATAACAGTCGCAGTGCCACTCAGAGTTTGAATTCCAAAGATCTAATGAGCCCTGTACACGTTGGCGTAATAACGTAAAAATACGGTGCTGCAAACGTAATACAACATTTAAATGACAAGAATTCTTTGAGATAAAATAATTGCACATTTGTCCTCCACTTCACATGATGGAAAGTGATGATAACACAAAAATAACTTAACAAAACCACGAGGTGCAATAGCGGATCATGGTCCACAATGACAAAATACAGAGGAACACGCTTTTCTTAGACTTTACTGCCACTGTTATTCGGCAGTTCGTCCTAATCTGTAATATTCGGATCAATATAATTTAGAAAATGGTCCTCTCACCTAACATAGGTACCACACATCCCAAGGACTTGTTTTGACATTTGACATTTAGAACATATCCTTTTTATTTTTTCAACGTACCTGTAAATTACGAGTCCCCAGTTTTCCATAGCACCAGCAGCAAAGTCAGGTACTGCTACCTTGTCCAACTTGGGAAACTCATATGGTATTTCGGTGTATTCAGCAAGTGCAACCATATTCTTCTGTCCAAATTCCAGAGCGAATTTGGCATGTTCCTGAGTTCCGGGACGAGAGTAAACTTTAAAGGGAACATTGAATATTTCATCGTCTTCGTTGCTAATATAAGAAAAGTTTGAGACCAAATAGGCATTCAGATATGTAGACATTACGAGTGTGTCTTGGAACTCATGTTTGATCCAACCTGGTACGTCTGGTCTGTGAAATAATTGAAAAACTTAATTTTCGATAAGTAATTTTATAATAAACAAACATGCAATGTTCATTTGCAAATTTATTATTTATGACTAGTTTAACGGTTACAGAAAGATTTTCGAGCACGCGTGGCCAGCATGGGTATTGCCTAAAGCCACTATTTAGAGAAAACACGGGGTTATTAATCAACTAAACATTGTTGTAAAACCCTTACTTGAGCTGATCAGTTTCGGTCCTTTTAGGCATGTTGCTTCTAACCACGGGATACTCCACCGGGGCATAGATGGTGGTTCGGAAGACAGCCTTCCGATGAGGCTCGTCATAGCAAGGAAATGCACGACGAGCAAACGTTGGCTGCAACTGTGAAGTGATCACGCGTCTAGGGAAAGATAATTTAAATGGTTATATATTTATAAATTGTTATTAAATGTAATGATGAATGAAACGATAATACTTTTACCATAATAATCTTATTCATTACTTCTTACTTCATTCAGAAGCTCATCCAAAATATTTGCTAGGAAATAGTTACTGTAAATATTGTCTTTTGTAATAAGCATGGGACAATATTAAACATTTATCTTAAATCTGGAACTCCCAGTAACATCAATTATAAAACTAAATAATAGCCATCCTAGCCAGCTATGGTAGCCATGGTAGTCGGGTAATCAGAGGGTGGTGGGTTCGGTATTTATGTGCAAAATTTAATATGAGATTTATTTACATTAACTTTTCGATTCAGAAAAACATCGTGCGGAGACCTATGCAAAGCAATTTCATGATGTATGTGAAGTTTCCAATCCGCATTGAGCCCTTGTGGGAACTACATCCCAAGCTCTTCCATTGTGAGAGGATATCCTCCTAGAGGAGACCTATGCACAGCAGTGGGCCCATGTGTAGGTTAACGTTTATTTTATTATTATTATTAAATAAAACATAAAACAAATTGAACGAAAAGACAAAGCCTAATATTTCCTCGTTTAGCAAAAATTGCAAAAACCTTAAACGTGTCGATTTAGAAAGCGTTCTTAGGATCGTATTCCAGAACTCTACTCAGTGCTCAAATCAGGACTTAAGTATGATTTCAAGCACTGGAAATACGACCCTAATGGCAAGGACTTGAGTATGATTTCTAGTGCTTTAAATCATACTCAAGTCCTGACTTGAGCATTAAGTAGAGTTCTGGAATGCGACCCTAAATATTATATTTAAATACAGAAAGCGTTTTAGTTATTTCGAAACAAATTAGTGGTCAATGTTAATTGGGCAATTTTCCTTCTTACCTGGCATTTAATTTATTCTTTGGTATTCTCGGTATTATTACGATTTTCCTCGAGAATTAATTTGAGCCATAGTAATAAAGCCACATGTGATAATATCTCTAAAGTTGTTATCACATGAAAGCAATAAAAATAATATGAATTACAAGAAACAAATTGTGTATTATATAAAAATTGATAATATCCTGTTTAAGCATAAAAGTTGTCACCTGATTTCGTTAATAGAATCTTTAAAAAGTTGTAATTTATGACCTTATTTATTAGATATGACCTACCAATGGTACATAATTTTTATTGTTTTCTATACTATACTTACTCAGTTCTTCCATTATTCTCGTTTCGGTAAGTTGATAAGTAAACCCCAAATAGGTTTTCAGCATACGTGCCTGAGTATGCTATGTTTATTGTAAGAGGAATCATAGGATCGATTAGTCTATTCAGTCTTATTCTTAACAGATGAGTGTCAAAAGTTGACAAGGTATATGTTCTAAAGATGTTTTCACCGTTGTCCCCAAGAACCTCTATAGAATTAATTATAGTCTCCATGGCATGCAATACAAGTTCTTCTGTACGTCTAAATGGGAGTATTCTGATAGAAACATGGCCATCAAATGAAACATCATTGTTGGGATCTAAATATAGTTGTACGTCATATAAGGTTGGCATAGATTCGCCTGGTAAAACATAGCGAGCTTGAAGGTCGTCATTTCTAAGGTCTTCTGATGTGAGGGGTACGCTGAATACGAACCCAAATAAGGTCAGGAGTATTGGTAAATACATATCTGAAAGTAACGACACCAGAATTTTTATTACAATTATTAGTAATATATAAAGTGACTGCTGTAAAAAAAAAGTTGCTTACACACAATCTGATGTAACCAAATTTAAGAAGAACAATGTACTCGTAGAAGATGTATGAAGATGTATCGATGAAAATGATGAAATGTTAGCGGTATATACATTGACTTACAATTATATGGACGTCGGGTCCGCGCTAAAAAGTGTCCGCACTTGTAAGGCGCTAAAATCGTATACAGAGCGCGACACTCCGCTTTAGTCTTCATTTGTTCTACGGACAGCGCGATACTGCGATGACAAAACAATTTAAATTTCGAATAGGTTGACTTGGGACATTTTTTTCGTGGTTTTTGTATTAGACCCGTCGTCCATTTATTTGTAAGTCAATGGGTATATAAATATTTTTGAATTCACTGACTCTAAATAACTTTTTATGCAGTTCTTTTATTTTCGCGATTGATACACATTGGAAATGAAATGAAAAAATGAAAATTTTTCGGATCTAAGTTGCGTCTTTTTTTGTTTTTTCAAACAATTTGTAATAATACTATATTAAACGTCCGTCTCAAATCAAGTATCGTGAAAGAAAACACAAAACATTTAGATCCGTAAATAAAAAAATTCACTTTTTTAAATAACTTTTTCCAAAAAACGTTTGGAATTCAATTCAATTTCATTCAAATTCAATTCTTGAAATATTTTTGAAGGTTTTTATACACGTTTACTTCACACCCTTTTAAAAGTTCTAAAATAATGTCCCAGAAAACCACACCACTTATCTGGTCTCAAGCTAGTTAATTTCCAGTATCTTGAATACCAGAGCAACAGATAAGTCATAGGCACAACCCAGAACATCCAGATCATCCAGAACCAATTTAGAAAAGGTTATTTTCCAAACTGATGCAACCGGGATACGAACCCGTGACCTCCTCATCCACGCCTACAGACATTATTATGGAGACCGTGAGTTTTGAAAACATAATATAAAAGAGCATAAAACGAAGTCAAATAACTTGCAGCATTTATCATCGAAGTACTATTTCAAAGATTGTGTTTTTTATTCCACATTTTGGTATGTCAAGTGGATAATGGTTATCAAACTTATCAATACATTCGTCACTTATCTCAAGACAATATTGCGTACATAAGGGCCGTGAGATATTTGGTATAAACTGAAGTAATTGGACAAAAATATGTATGTTATATTACATTTTTACGGAACATTTGAGGCATTTTACTAAGTTAATTTTTTATCAACTACACTACAAGGGGACATACATTTTAATCCACAACTAAACTTAACTTTACAGTCTTAAGGTCGTATTCTAGAACTCTACTCAATGCTCAAGTCAGGACTTGAGCAGACTTGAGTATGAAATCTGAAAATCTGTTGCCTCTTTTAAATTAGCCTATAAGAAGTTTTTATTATCAACTCAATTGTAATCTCATTACATAAGGTAGTCGTGCATTGCTTGCACAGTTCTTAAAAAGTGATCAGAGCCAATTTGTACAATGTGTTAACACTAATCACCTCACTTACACTACATATACTCACTTCACTTACACTACATATACTCACCTCACTTACACTACGTTTACTCACCTCACTTACACTACATTATAATCACATTTTTGGTATTTATTTCATTTTTATTATTATGTATCTATGTTAGGATTAGTTTATGGTTTTGTTTAATATTTTAAGTTTTGATTTATATTTGTAATTAAGTTTTATACCTAATCTTTATATTTCTTTTTTGTTTTATTTTTATCTTACCGCCTGCTTGGACGAGGCGCCATCTTTCTTTTTGTCCATATATGGCGCCACTGAAAACCAGCGTAATGAGGCGTTCTTCAACGTCTCATTACAAAAAGCTGAGTGGCGACCGTTTTGGTAACATATAATGTATGATTGTGTTTGTTTTGTATTATTTATTATAAAATGTTGCCAAATAAATTATTTTTCTTTCTTTCTTTCTTTCTTATTTCAAGCACTGGAAATACGACCTTAATGACAAGGACTTGAGTATGATTTTCAGTGCTCACTGCAATACTCAAGTCCTGATTTGAGTATTGAGTAGAGTTCTGGAATACGACCCCTAGTGTTCGACTGCAACAAACCAAGTTACTTCCTGGATGCGGATCAGTTATTAACAATTTCGGCGACGCAATGTCACCTTCCCGAGTTGCATAAAAACATCACTTATCAGACTTCCCCTGCTTCTTCTACTACCTCGTGCGTAAACTAAACCATTTTTTTTTTTTTACTTGGAACGTTTCCAATACGGTTCGAACCAAAAACGAAGTAATGTAAATCATATATGATTTGAAACGCTGCATGAATTTATGTAAATAAAAGTATTACACGGTGATAAGACTCCAAAACTGGGTGATGATAGACGTGTACTACAGAACTTGATACCAAGTCTCCCAATTTTAAATCACCTCAGTTGTGTGTTAATAGAGCGTCTGTGCCAGGATTTAGTATGTTTGGTTTTCTGCTAAAAGTTAAGTGTGGTGGCTTGTCAGAGGCTAGGAGTGCACGAAATATATCGATATTCAAAAAAAAATCTATATATGCCCTCGATATATCGAATCAATCCGATATTATCGTACCATTCGGTATCGATATGTACTATCAATATATTTTATCCGATACGTAGTGTAAATTCAAAATAGTAGTAAATACTCATTGGCTAGCCGCACGCACACAATAATATTGACAACAATATTCCCGCCCGCACACAGGGCGATATTGTTGTGTTGGTATTCAGGAATTGAATACATTGGATTAGTGTGTCAAAACTGATAGTTTTATTTATTTACTCTTAGTAAAATTTCCTCCCTTTTATCTTTTAGAATTATTTACGATATATCGAAAATATCTATGTTTTGTACCGATATATCGCCAAATTTGGATACAACATTTCGATATATCACATCGTAAAAAATAACGATTTTTTTACATGAAAACCACTATCAGAGACTAGCCATCGAGCTATTAATCAACTGCGATTGAATCTTTTGGTATTCTGCTCTTCAATGGCGAGTCGACAGCGTAGTCTTACTACTAATTATTTGACATAAAAAAATACATTTAATTCATATAGTAAATTGCTGCTTACGCGATATAACAATAAAATACCCTTAGTAATTCCATGATAGTTTTAGTAAAGCAACATCGATCGTTAGTGATTGAATTAAAGAATGCCATCCCTGTCATTCCATTGACTCTCTATTTAGACTGGACTTGAAATGGCTTCAACTAGATTTTAGCAGAATAATAAATTGTCATAATTGCAGTATAATCTAAACAGAGTCACAATGGATTTACAATAATCAGGTTGCTGGGTTTGTCTTATAATTTTGTTGAAAACTTGAATAATTGTAATCGTAGCAGCATTTGATTTTATTGATTAAATGTTATATAAAATACTATTAATATTTAAATTATATATCTACTTGTCATATTCGTATATCTATGTCACAATTCAGGATTGCCTAGTGTAGGGACCGTGGTAAATATGAAACTGTAAAAAAATTCTGTCACATATTTTTTTTATACAAGAGGTAGAATGAAGTTTCTAGAAGCTAAAGAGAAATTTCAAAAACTTTACTACGATTGCGCAACAAAAAACTTGATGTCACAAATCATAACACAATTTGTCACAATAATTTGTAATATCAAATAATGTAAAGACGTTTTACGAAATAAACAGTAAATGCCTCATTGCGATCTCACGAGAGCTAAATTCATGAACTGAATTAGTGATCTTGAAGTTGTTTACCCCGCGCGGGCCGCCGCGTAGACCAAATTCAATCCAGGGTAGCCCGCGTGGCCGGAACGCTCATTTAAATTTAAACGAATAGAGCGTATTTTGCCATGACAGTTAGACGCACGCGGTCGCTACGCGGCAGCAACGTGGAGTCCGCTCTTCGACCGCGCGGCGGCCGCTGCGGACTCCGCTCGACGACCGCGCGGTGGCCGCGCGGGGTGAGCGCGATGAAATCCGTGCTGGTGAAATTACGCTGATTCATTCTTACGATGGTTCATTACGTCATCCTTCCCATCAAAATTTTCGGATCGAAAGGACGTGCTTATTAATTATCATATAAAACCAACTTCGCAAAATTTACTGTTTTTAGAGCCTTAGATAATATACGGAGGTATATAGGCCCAAAAGCCGTTCACTTTTATTTTCATTTCATTTTCTACTTCTAATAAGTAAGGCTAGGCCACACACATATGATTCTAAAATACTCAGCAGTCATGGCAACATGGTGATAATCATACCTAGGGGGAAATAACCTCCAATCTAGAGAATCTCTGCGTAATGTTATTGGTAATTGTTAGACGAAATAAATTGTTTGTACAAATTTCATTTCGAATAGGATCTAATTACTGCCTAAGTATTATGAAACTTAAGACTTACAATATGCCTACCTAATTATCAACATTTCTTTTCGGATATTAAGCAAATTATCAGGAAACACACATACCGCCCGCCGCAGCGTACGAGACGCGGGGTTTTTTGTATTGACTTGTTAGAAAACACTATGACCCCTTCGTTCCGCTGTAATGTAAAGAGTGATAGTGTGTTATCCAACTTAGTCGTATCAAGTGCTGTATAACTAATTACCATAAAAGATTAATATTATCAGAACTAGAAACCAAAATGTGTAAAAAATTAACAATGAATTACATTTTCTTTGTATACCTACGTCTATAATAATTTATAAGCGTATCATTGTTATTTTCATTATGATTGGAGTTAATTGCGTTGGACTGAATTACAACGTTCCATTTTGTGGATTAAAACAGATCCTGAGATCTTTTAATTTCGATTGCAGCAACGAAAATAAGTAAACGATGCTTTACTTTTACCTAAATATAGTCAAAACAAAAAGATGATAATGATATTTTATTTAGGAGGTGGTAAAAAAATTTATGGATACTGTATGTTGATTTAACGTAAAACGTTTACGTTGATCGATCTTTTTCGTTACGGTCTAGATTTTGTACCATAATAAATAACTATTGCAAAATACAGAAAAAAGTACAGAAATGTACCTAGTTTCCAAACTAAGATCCCCTGACCTACGGATGGCGTCTCACGTCCGTCCGTACGTCACCTTAAAATAACATAAAGTCTAATTACAGTCATAAATTTACAGGTTGACAGTCAACCGTGACCATGGGACCTGTAAAGGGCCCGAAACGTCGGTTTGTTTGAAAAAAACAAATATACGCGATTTAAATCCGGAAAAATAGTTTCATTTCCTATGTGTAACAATCGCGAAAACCTAAGAACTCGATATATAGTTCTAATGTTAATAAACAACGAAAAACAGACAACTCTAATCCCAACAAAAACAGTTAAAGAAATACTTTCTAGGCAGGATAAGATGCACTATTATTAAAAAACAAATTCATAAAGCAAGAAGGGTAGATAGTCACAATTTCGTGCGATCAACATGCTATTTGACTTTAAAGGGCGTTTAATGAAAGCACTCTGGGAATTTCGGTCTTTTGCTATAACGGCTTTTCCCTATAAATGGTATTTGGAATCTCTTCGTAGGGCATTCATCAGTCGCAATTAAAGAATACGCTTTACCGTTGGCTTTATGGAAAGATAAAATTGCATTGCACTTGTACGTTTAGTAACATCATAATCTAGCCTGATTCATTATCATCTGTGTTCCTATATTTTGGACGTTTCTTCTATATATTCTACAATGTAGATGATTTCTACATTGTAGAATATATAGAAGATCTACATTGTATAGTAAAATGCAAATCAACTTTAACACGTTGGACATTATACCTTCTCGTAATTGGCACTGTACAGGCACACTTGTTTGGTTATATACAATGTATATGGGAACAAGTGTTTCTCCTCATAAACAACGGATGGTACCTTTGGTTAAGAAATTATGCACCTTATCGACCATTTATAAGGTTTTGACTTAAACGTCAATCAATGTTAACTTTTCAATAAAAAGAAGAGTTTAAATATGAATAACCTAACCAGGAAACGCCTACCTAAGACAGGCTTGCTTTATTTATCTTTGGACGACTGTCGCGTTTAGCCTGTTCCAATATCACGACTATCTGTCGGGACTGTGTCGTGGACGTTTATTTCATCGTTGAACGACTGTCGTGTCTAGATGTTTCCACTAGATCGTGACGACAATTTATCGGTTCACGACAGCCGCCTTGTCGTTTGCACGACAGAATCGTTTGAAGCTGCGATTATATGTCGTCACGTTTTTATTGTGACTTTTTATTTATCGTCTGACGACTATCGTTCTAGCTCTTCCCGTTGTCACTCTATTGTCATAACGTCAAAAAAGTCGTGAACGACAATTAATCGTGTTGTTTTATGTGTGAACAACTTCATTTAAATATACAAGCCTCGACTTTTTAAACTGCACGACTATCTGTCGTTACGACATAATGGGAACGCGCCCTAAGGTGTGGGCGGTTTTGCTTTCCATTGTGTGTATTATTTATTCGAATCACTGGCTGTTTAGGTTGAAAATTGTTAACGATGAAAGTGAAGGAAAACATAATTACGAAAAATATATCGGAGAAGTTTCACAATCTTGAAAATAAATAACATTCTAATTTTAGCATGGATTCACCGAATTTAATTTATCCTAATTTCCATTATTTATATTAATAAATATTAAAAATAATTATATAATATAATAATTAATTTAATTTAATAAAATAAAATAGTTTGTAAAACCTATATAGCGTAAATCGGATTATTCTTTGGAAAATTCAAAAGTAAGGTATTGAATTAATCACTTTTGTAATTATAGTGAAAAATAGTGTGGTTTGCATTATGTTAGACATAACTGGTTGATCACTTTACCATCTTAGTCAGACGTGAGCATGGGAACTGTAAAGAGCCCGAACAATCGCGAAAACTTAAGAACTCGATATCACATTCTTTTTCGAAGATTTGAATTACCAACTCGGATTCAAGCTGACCTGGTGGACTAAGTGGAAACGTATTTACAAAGTCACATTCAAAATAAATAATTGAATAAATCCTTGAATTTTATTAATCGTGCATTCAGATTGTTTTCTTTGGTACTACGCTATATTACTTTCAGTACACCAATCCGATAAGAACCTATTCTTCACTCACCTAAGAACGCATCATATCTCAGTAATGTTAAAGTTCATTTTCAATTATTTTTAATACGAACTGCAGATCCTAGCAACTCTTAAAAATATGACAATATGATTCGCTCTTAGTTGCGATCAGCGGAATTGTTACATTATTAACCTTTGCAAAAACAACTCACCTACTCCAAAAAACACTATTATTCACACCGGACTATCGAATATCAAAACCCATCTAATTATTGTTAAAATCGCACAATCGCACTCTTTATCGATTAAATACAAAATGATCAACTTTATCGTTACAAATAATATATAATGTATTGTAAAATAAGTACGTCGTGTAGAGATAATTTTAATCATCATGACCATTTAAATACATTTAACCTGATAAAAACTAAGTACGATTGTAAAATTTACAATTGTGTTGTATATTCTTTATAGATGGCCTCTGGTAAAAAAAATCGACAAGTGCGAGAGAACTCGCAAAGCACGATAACTTGCTTGGATTTCCAAGTGCGAGTAGGTTCTGTAGTCAAAACCTTTGCATTTCACATGCAAAGCACTTACACATGTACGGTGTAACAGGTTGATTCATAGCCACGTGACTGACATTATAAGACGTCCATCTTTTTCTTTAAGGTACGAAACGCAAATAACGGGACACCTCAATCGCATTATATCCGTCCTCGCTTACAGGAGAAAACAAGTGCCATTCAGTTATTCTTTACATGTAGGTGTTTATTACACTACCCGTCACAAATATAGAGATGGGTAAGGTTACGGTACCTTAAACATCTATCGATATTTGTAGACCTGCGTCAGATTTTTCTTACACCATTACCATTATGATGAAATATTTTCTCAACACCTTATCAACTAAAAAAGCTAAAGATGAAATTGATGATTGGAGATTTCTGAAGTAACTAACATGCGTAAACTTTAGGCTTACCTTCAATGATTGCCATAAAAACATACATACAAAATTAGAGCTTGAAGAATACATTGAGGTAGCTAAAAATTATGCTCCACATAAGAAACCAAAGAACCATAAAGTTCGTCCTATCGTTACGAAAATGTCTCTGCAATAAACACTTTGTAAGATCATAAAAACTGTGTCAAATTATGGAAAAATGTTATGTGTGCTACAAGAGTTGCAACAAGATGTATTTTCAGCTGTGTTTTGTTCCTTTTTTGATTAAAAGCAGAGTAGTAATCTAACTTCATATTTATGACTAGCGTATAAGTGTTTTGTATACGCTGTTATAAGTATAATATATTAGCTGTAAATTGTATTTTTCTAAGGAAAGACAAAAGCATTTTACTGTTGGTTGTTGGACTATTTTTGAAGAAAGTAGAATTTTAATAGCATTCGATCAAAACCAAATCGACAAAGTTCAAATAAAGGATGTAATTATAAGAAAAGAAACCACTTGATGAATACCTCATGGTAGTCAACGAAATCTACCATTCGTAACATAATAAGTTGACGAATTCCATCCTCCGAGACCGTGAGTTAACTATTCATTTAAACAGTATTGAATATCAGCTGGTGTACCACAGGGCTCAGTCCTAAATACCTTACTCTAATATTTACAATTTTACGGTCTGTTACTACTCCTGTTTTTGCAGTGACACGGTGACATTTACTTCATCAGATCAAATAAACATAATGATTGTTAAGCTAAACTGGACTGCAGAATTCTTTCCTTTCTATTTTTATTATGTGGCAATCAAAATAAAACGAATATCAAAATACCATGGAGCAATATTAAGAAGTATGTAGGTGTCAACTTTGATACTAAATTAAAGTGGCGTATTCACATGAGTTCACTAAGTAACAAATGCATTAATTTTTTTTAATAAAATCAAAATTAATGCATTAAAATAAAATAAAACAAAGAGGTAGAAAAGGCGTTACAAATCCAAGGACTCTAGCTCCTAAACTAGACAAATGTCTGTGTCTTGGGCATCGAATATATGTATAACCAGAAATAGAGACGAAATGTCATTTAATTTGTTTGAAAACTATTCTGCCATATCATTACGGTGACAACTGTGCTCCGATTAGCCAGCCCGAATTCGAAACAATTGACGGATGTCGGATAATTAGATTTTTTGCAGTTTTTCCCACACCACCTAATGGGACATTGTTAGATACATTATCTTTATTACAATAAATACAGAATATTTTTGGAATATACGGAGACGTACACACAGGTCAGTTGTTGGCGCTGTACTATTTCAGCTTTCTAATTTGTAATTTCAGTGCAAACAAAGGTTGATATATATAAGCGATATAAAGCCCATTTACCTGATTAGGCGGGACCAAAAATATGTGCCTCTGTATTTAAAACCAAAACAAAGTTATTAGTAATTTAAAAACAAAACAAAAATGAGTCTGAGCGATCGTGGTTATACATTTTTAGTGGCAGTTATGAGGTAAACGATCAAAAAGAATAGGCATAAGTATGTATATTTGTGTAGATTTATGCGACTGTGTGTGTGTGTGTGTGTGTCTGTGTGTAGCGTGCGTTTGCGTGTGCGTGTGTATGTATTTGTTTGTTTGTTTGTTTGTTATGAAATACAGTGGTTACGTATGTAATCAAATTTTAAGTAGTTCCTCTGGAGCCGGTCAAGAGTCCTCAGCCAATTTTGCAATTCAGAGTTCATAACTGGATAAGCCAACAAAATTGTGAATTCTGCTTAATTTATTGTATAGAACCAAGCTTAAAACATAAGACATAACATTGTCGACTTGCAATGGTGGTCGAATGCTGTCCACTTGGACACGCCAGTCTTTTAACACGACGGTTTGGTTGTAGGTATTTAAACACCGTTCAGTACCTCCGTACCGAACGGTGTTTTCTCAATATAGGCCTGAACACAAAACGTGGTCTCATTGAAAGGATTTGAGTCTCAGAGTACAGTTGTGCAGTCGGGTACCAGGCGTGACGGTTGGTTGTAACTTTCAGAACCGCTCATTGTGCCCGTTCCAACCCAAGTAACATAGTCTTAGCAGCGCTACCCTACGTGGAAATACAGTAACTAATGATGGACTAGCATAAAGCCAAGTATACCATTTTCAAACTATGTGAATCAACACAGTTACGAAGATGTTTGTAAACATAAATTAGTTTTCTTAATCTAGAGGTCAATGATGCTAGTTGCGTATGCCAGTTCAGTCAACCATCAATCTGCACTCCTAAATATCTGATGTGACACTGACGACTGAGACAGATGTGATAGAGAAAGGATCAAATTAGGTTTTACTCGTGTTTAACGTCAAGCAATTAGACTTTAGCCATTGCATTATTGTCCGTAAAGAGCACTCCGCACGATTTCATAGTATTTGCGATAGATCGTATGGATTAATGAATATGTAGATGATGTGAATTTCTTCACATGAACAGATTGTCAGTGTCATGATAGTTTACAAGCAAAAGTGTGTCTTGTAGCACTTTTTTAACTGCTTTTTTTTTGCTTTGGGGTAATGCCGCCGATATCAATAGAATTTTTGTCCTGCAGAAACGTGCAGTTAGGGCAATTTACAATCTGGGCCCCATAGTATCTTTGAGAGATAAGTTTAAGGAAATTAACATTCATACACTAGCCTCAAAGTACATTTATGAAAATGTAATTTATGTTAAAAGGAATAGTAATTTATTTATGAAAAATAGTGACAGACATAACATTAATACGAGGAATAGAAATAAACTAGCTTTTCTTGATAGTCGTCTTCACAAAGTCAAAAAATCATTTAAGGGGCAATGTATACGCTTCTATAACAAGATTCCGGTTGATATACAAAATTTGCCTTTCACGAGGTTTAAAACTATAGTGAAACAAAAACTTTATACTAAAGGTTATTATACAACTTCTGCGTACTTGGATGACAAAAATCCGTGGTAGTAACCCGTTTAGCTCATGGAGGTAGTCTCGATCTCTGATGTTTTAAATAAAAAAAAATATTGTAAATGCTATTTACAAAGAGCAACCCCTAGAGTTTCTTGCTCATTCTTCTCAGGGGATTCTGCCTTACGAATGAGCGGTAGAGTTTAACCATTGTGACGATTTCAAGTGTAATAATGCTTACCTATGAAATAAAGATTATTTTGAATTTGAATTTGAATTTGAATTTGCATACTTCGACAGTGTATGAATGCGAGTTATATTGTTTACCCTGTTATATAATTTACAACTTAGAGCATTATATTTATTTTTTCCCATGTAGGGCGACATTTTACCTGAAGACGTAATGAGCTCCCCTTCGACTGTTGACAGTAGCAATGAAGTAAGATAGTGACTGATGTTTATGCAGAAGTCTCCGCACAAAATGTTGTCTTACTGTAAATACTTTACATTTAGTGTACATGTTAGCAGTAGAGTATGTTCCTTTTTCAAAGGTAACTTTGAGAATCGCCCGATGATCACGTTTCAATTTTAGTACAGAGGTCTTGTTGGCACCACCCTACACTTGGATACAGTAGGAAACTTTAAATGTAACTTAAAAACGAAAAAAAATATTTCATTAAAATGTTGTTAAATAATAATTGGAATAAAATTATTAGGAGACTGCGTCGCTTTAATACAAAACAAAACCAAGATTTGTTTTGGCTAGTTCGATGCTAGTTAGCTTCTCCTATAGACAGTAGTAACTAGTACCTATAAAAATATTAATTTGGTAGAAAAAAAATTGACAATACCAGAAATGAAACCAGAAACAAGTGAACTTAGTAATGTTCGTTCTTAAGAAATGAAACTATTTTTCGGGATATAAATCGCATATATTTGTTTTTTCAAGCAAACCGACGTTTCGGGCCCTTTACAGGTCCCATGGTCACGGTTGACTGAGGTGGTACAGTCATCAACCAGTTATGTCTAATATTAATGCAAACCACCCTATTTTTTCACTATAGTTACAAAAGTTATTAATTAAACACTTTACTTTTAATTTTACAAAGAAACATTCCAATTTACGCTACATTATGTTTTACAAATTATGTTATTGAATGAATTTTTATTAAGTTCAATTTATTATTAATTAATAATAGAAATTAGAATAAATTAAAATATTAATTAGTACTGCAGTCTTATATCTGTTTGGGATTTTTCACCAGAGGAAATACAGGATTCCAAATTGGTGGTACGGAGAAACCATCTTCCCTGTTGAAATTAGGATGTTTTTTTTAATTTCTATGGCCTCTCGCAGCATCCTGGGTAGATATATGGA